CGAACGGCGGGACTACAAGTACCAGCGTGCCCCGCGCTTCCGGGGATAGAGTGGGGCAACTGCCCTTCCCAGCATGCAGTGTGGGAGGGCCGCCTGCCACGAGGACTACGAAGACCAGCATGCCATGGGCGCGCTTGAACGAGGCCATCGCCCTCACGCTGAAGCGTGGCCTGCTGGGAGTTGTAGTCTCGGTGTTGGGGCCGCTCAGCCCAGGATCGCCTTGCCTGGGTTTCCTGCTCCGCGGCAGCCCCCGCCACGTTCCCCTTGAAAGAGGGTGGGATGTCCCCCGGGGATGAGTCCGTGCACCACCCGCACCGCCCTGTCTCTGTCCAAGAACAGGGGAAGGGGACTCGCTCCTGTGCGGTGCAATGCAAAGGGCAGGACAGAGACGCCCCTTTACGCACTCTGCACGAGAGCCGAAATGTTTGCAATCAACATCCATGAACCTAGGACAGGTGGTGTCCTGCAGGGCCCGAGTTGAAAAAAAAAACAACGACAGAAATGAAAACACTTAAAGTGCCCGCTTCTCTTTCGATCGGGATTTTTCCTTTTGATGCCTTGACACTTTTCAGATCGTTTTATTTCGGGAGCAAAATCAGTTGCACTAGAAGTGGTCTAGCGGGAGTCTTCCCCCGCCCCCTTGTACTGTAGGTTTCCCCAGTCGAAAAGACATCCCCCCCTTTCTCCTCCGAGCTGATACTGTCTGATGCCACAGACAGACGTTACTCTTTCCAGTAGGACGCATTCAATCCGCTCCCTAAAAGCTGTACTCTGCTCGGCCCCTTGATGCCTGGGATGAGAGATGCTCCCCCCAGCAAGGACCCCCTTTAGTTTCCAAGGGTATTGATACCCGAAAGCTTGCAAACAAGAACTTTTGCAACTCTTTGAGTTGGTCTAATAAAAGAGATCAGATTTACCCCCAAAAAACTTTGCTTGCCTATGTCCTTACACCAGCACGGCTACAACCCTTCAAAGCTTTCCTTTCTCTCCTGCTCAAAGCTCCTCCTAACTGCTTTGCATAATCTCCTATCTCATTGGGTTCCACTAATGAGAACTACAAAGGACAATTAGCCTCCGAGAGAAGAGTCAAATTTGTTTTAATTGGGAATGAATTAAAAACGCCCGCTCTTAAAAGTAAGACGGGGCTGTTATGTAAAATAGTTTAATTACCCTAAGCCTTTACCCATTGCTTGCTTGTGGCTTAATCAGCACCGAGGAGCAAACGTTTCAGGATGGAAAGGGGAGGGGAGAGAGAAGGGCCAAAGGCTCCCTCTGCTCGCCTGGCGTCAAGGCTGCCCCCTTCTTCCCGGGGCAGAGGCTGCTCCCCGGAGGAGCAGCTGCACCCAGACACACAGCCTTGCTGATGCAAAGGTGCTGTATCACAACACGCAAACTGCTTGGCACCGGGCTATTTGCTATGTACACTAGCGAAAACTTCCTTTCGTTGTTCTCTGACCGCTTTAGAGTATTTGGGCTGATTTTAAAACGCGGTCAGTCCACAGAGACCTGGAATATTTTCAATAAAAGCAAGCCTCCAATTTTATTTTGCTTTACACTTGGCATCGTGCAATAGATCAGAGGAGTTGGGAAGGAGTGCGTCTGTGCACACACACGGGGGGGAGGGTCTGCATGCTAGAGCCGCGAGCAGAAAAAGATGGGCTTTACGGCAATTGCATCTGCATATCAACCACCTGCTTACGGTGTATTTTAGCAAGTCCTAATTTTAGATATTAATAATGTGAGAGGGCAAAATACATCGGAATTACGTAAGGAAAAAAAACAAGAGCAAGCCACAGAGTGCAAATTGGAAACACATGGCA